GAGTACTCTTACCATTTGTTACGATTCTGTTTAATTGTTACGAATGCTTAATTATTTGTAAGTTAATTTGTACTTTTAAACATTGCTACAACTGCCGCATAACATTGGAAATCGTGAAGAACTAACCCCCATAGTACAGGCATTGCCTGGTGTGGGGGTCAGAAATAAATTTAACTGTAATTTGGCTTTTTCTGAATAAAGTTTATTATTATTATTATTATTATTCTTGCAATAATTAATTGCCACACAATATACTACATCTATATAAAGTTTGTATCAACCGGAGAAAACTTATTGTTAATACTTAAATTATGATTGCATTATTGTCAACTAAAATTTTACAAAAATAATTTTTCTTAAAAAATCTTTAAATAGTATTGTTTTAGAATCTTAAAAATAGTTGCTAATTTTGAAATAACAATCATATCATAATAGTCATAAAGTACTCAAGCTTTAACTATTTATTTTATTAAAAACTACCCCTTTTACAACAATAAAGCAATCCTTTTTTCCCCACACACATATTTGCCGCATATTTTTGAACAGGCGCAGGTTTTTTTTTTCTATTAAGTGTTCTCTTACTAATGTCTGCATCCAGTTTAAAATTAGAAAGCCAGTTTCTGTCGTATCATAAATATTACTTTATCGTAGGGTTTTTGTGCTTTATTGATGACTTGATTAAAATTTTATTAAAATGCTGATCAAAACTATGGATAAAAGTAAGTACTTAAATCAAGTAGGTTAAATTACAATTAAGGCTACGATTAGATTTGGTGTACCCTGGCCTTAATTATTAGAAGGCATCACGGTATAAACATTAGAGCCAAGGCCGATATTAACCTCTACTCATCGTTCGAATGCATACAGCGTGAAGGTATTGTGACTTGTGACAGACGACGCTCTGAGTTAATGGTTCAAAATGTTTCTGCAATACAGTAACCTTTATTTTTCATTTTTATTATTTCTCTAGATGTGAGTCTTAAAGAGTCTCTCTTTTTTCTTTGATATGCGCTTGAAACTTGATAGCTCAATACCTTAATTTTTTTAGATTTGTCATCTTAAATGCAGGGATTAGCACTATAAAAAATTTAAATTCAATAGCTTTTAAATACAATGGCGTAGCTATCGTAGGGCAAGGTAGTGCACTACCAGGGCCCCGAAGCTCAGAGGGTAACGAAATGTTGAAAAGAAAGTAGCTGCCAGCTCTCTTAAAATTTATTTATGATATTAAATAAACAAGTACAACTCATTCCGAGATACGATCAACGGAATGAACTTGTTTGCTAAATTCATAATGTATGTTTTCATATCACAATCAAATTTTTTGTAGCATTCCTTATGATTTTGAAATTACGCGTGCTTGAATGTGACCTTATGGAAATGTATACAACAGTGCTACTATTTCACACAATTCCGAAACTTCCGCGTCAGTAGAAAGATTTTTCAATAAACAAAAAAAAGATTATGACGAATTAGCTAAGAAACAGCATTGGACAAGATCGCCATCGACATTAACATTAACTGCAACAGAAAACAAGGCAAACTTAGATTTGAATGAAGTTATAGACGAATTTGCAGAAATAAAAGAGATAATGTATTTGACTCGGAATTTTTGAATTTTTTTTTTTGTCAGTCTATTGATCTCATCTGTATGTAATTATAATCTTTATAGTGCTTTCAGTGAATCTCTGCATTTCAGATGAAACATTAAAATTTGTTGAAAATGGACGAAAAGTATCTTGCGGCTACTGGAACCGAACCTACGTCTTCCGGATACACGCCCAAATACTTTAACCACTAAGCTAAACGACTGATTGCAGCATACAAACAATTTCAAATATCGTTTAATAACGACCGATTCGAGCATAAAATTGCACTTAATTACATGTTACCCGAAAAGAACATCTGGGAAAAAATATTCCAGACATGTTCAGAGGACAATTTTTCTCACCTGTTGACATTCAAATGGTGATATGTGCCCAAAATAAAATAAGAAATATCAACTAAAGTAGTGTAGAATGTATGATTATGCTAACAAGCTTACACCTGTGATTCTTATTAAAATGAAAAAGTTATTTTATATCGGACCCTTACTTTTTAATACGTCCTTAAAAATAAGCTATCGTTTATCCGAATTAAATCCAAACTGTCCAAATTATATTATCCGAATTAAATCCGTTAAGCCGAATAGGAAACAAAATTTCAGATTAGCGATAACAGACAAGCTCTGATCTAACACTAGTGGGTATGCTATAAAATAATAGGATGACACACTTCACCGTGTTCAATGTCCAAACACAAAAAGTGCAAAATTACCTACAAATAAGGTAAATAACAGCCTCTACGTCCCACTGCTGAGCAAAGGTCTTCTTAGTACAGAGGCTACTTATAGGCCATAGTTAAACTGACCATACGTCCCGTTTTGAACAGGACTGTCCCTTTTCTCGGACAGCTGTCCCTTTGTCCCCGAAAAAATCTTCGGGATGTAAAATTGTCCCGTTTTTCGAAACCGCGCGTGATTTTAAAATCACGCTCGTTAGACATGATCATGAGCAGATCCGTTCCGTTATTCCCGGTTATTCCCCGCATGCACGCGCTATCGGTTACCTAGTAACGCGGTGATGAGGAGAGGGCATTTGTTTCTTTCAATAAGCTAACCACGCGCATGTATTCTGACTTCTTTATGTTTTTGTGTAATGTTCGTTAAATACTTTTGTACATAATTTTAAGTTTTGTTGTTTGAAAATTTTCCTATAGTCAACCTACAAACAAAATACCCATTTATTAAGCAAATTAACACTCCTTCGGATGTCAGATGCGAAAAGTGTGCAGTTTGGTGTTTCCCATAGTGGTGCTGGTGATATTGAACAGCTCTAGTTCTGAAGGCGATGCTGATAACAAAAGGTCAACATTAAATAAAAGTGCCAAATTTTATTCTTATTTAAAATCGTCACCTTCTTTTGTTTGTTCCTCTGAGAAATATAAAAATATTTAAAAACAAACCAATATACTTTTAATAATAAATAGTGAACTGATGATTTTTTCTTTGTATCTTTTAATTTTTAATCTTTTCGAAATAAAGAAAATTAAAAACTTATGTTTATTTTCATTGTAAATCAATGTCCCGTTTCGAGATTGAAAAAAAGTGGTCAGTTTAGCCATAGTCCACCACGCGACCCAAATGCGGATTGGCGGATTTCATTTATATCTTCGAAATAGTTTTTTTGTTATTATTTCTAACGAAATATCTATAATTTCTCACGATGATTTACTTTACCCCTTAGCAAGTGATAAGTCAGGTCTTAAAATTCACAATTTCATTGGTGCCAGCACCGGTGTCGATCTCGAGTTGCTCGAGTATATTGAATTTAAAGCGAACGCCCGGACAATGAGCTATCACGATTCTAGGAAAGCTATCACGACTGAAAGTAAAAACTGTAGTCAAATTAAACTAAAGTCAGAAGTCGTTGGGTACAAACACACAGTAGGTACCTATATCAAGTTATTTAAAATTTATTAAATTAATAATTATTAAAGAAGACAAAAGTTTGTGAGTACTTATGTGGGCACGTAAGAAGTTAAACTTCTTGAGCGTAATAAAAGAATAACAAGTTCAATAATAAAATCAAAGCATCGTTTCAAAAACTGATCTTGGCAAAACAGTGAATTCGAGTTTATTAAGATTTTAGTTTATTTTATTTTATTTTATTAAGGCATACAAACAAATGTACATAAATTTATATAAACATTAACATATTACACATACAAACAGATAAGTATATGTACATTCAACACCGTATACCCAAAGTAACGTATATAATACATAAGGTAGCGAGATAAGATTATACATGTTATTTTGATTTATTATACATTTAAATATTTAGTAACATTTTTTTTTTTTAATAAGAAGTAGTTGCAAAAATATCCATACTTGTGAAGCTGTCGTTGTATGATTGCACTATGCGTTGCATCGGCGAGCGTAAACCGGCGTTAAGGCCCATTTACACGGTGCCAGTTTCTTGCCTGTTGTAAACNAGATTTTGTATAAGTATAACGCATCACTTAAAATTCTTCTTTTGTTCAAAGGCAGAAGTGAAAACCTATCTAAAGCTTGGGAGTAGGAAAAAAGAGAGTTGCGGTAGCATCTGTAATAAACCGTTTTTAAGAATTTTCGTTGAATACGTTCAATCTGATTACTATACCTTTCATAAAATGGGTTCCAAACTATTGAGGCATTAGATTGGTCTAATCAAAGAGTTGAATAAATAAATATATGATAATGGTCGCCTAAAAACGTTTGTTTGTCTTATTACAAAAGAAGATATAATATTAAGATAGATATATAGAAGAAGAAAGATATAATGTACTTAAGCGCCATCTACATTCTTTAATGAAAACTGTAACGGGCGAATGTGATTGAGAATATTATGCCATCTATAAAAATTAGTGGGCAACTTCAAAGGTGTCATACCTTTGAAGTTGCCCGCTAATTTTTTTTGTGTTACGTCTTAAAATTTCACTTTCATATTTTTTTCATAATGCGCCTAAAGAAGTATAACTTCAAATATTTAATAAAAACTTATTCACAATTTTTAAACAAAAACTATAAAAAAAATATAATTTTTTCAAGAGATCTATAAAAAATAATAAGGGATACAGCAATAGCCTAGTCGCAAACTAAAATATTAATTGTAATAATTAAAAAAATTATCCTTTTAAATGATTTAATCTGCGTAAAAAGTATCTGGAAACTGCAGAATAAAAACGTTTAGATTTTTTTTGTTGGCAGCATTGGATAATTGCTCAACTCAGGGAGCAGATTTGTCATCCGTGCGGAATTAGATAAAATCACAAATAATTTTATGTTGTACGGATCGAATATAAATCTCATCGGGTATTAGTTAAAAAGGAGGAAACATTTTAATTGTGAGTTATCAAACAGTGCTCTTGTGTGGTTTTGTTGGATTGACGTATGTTAGTTATCAGTGCTGCAAACTAAGATGAATAACATAGCTAGAACACCGAAAACAACTCCAATAACTGATGATTACGATATCTCAAATACCGTTCTTGGCCTTGGGATCAATGGAAAGGTAAGTTAAATAAATTTATCAATATAAAATTTATAAAAGTATCTTGGAAGGTATCTTTTCTTCATTGTTTACATGTATGACGTAAAGATCAAAATTAGCTCATACATCGGTTTTTTTATCACGCCGCGGTTGACTGGGCAATCTGGACGAATTGCTGTATTGCTGAAATTTCAATGTCATTTTAGAATTTAGCTGATTTTTATGAGCTTTTATCATTCAAACATATTTACTTGTTACCTGTTTTATACATGATTTAAACTTTTATCGATTTATTTCTTCATTTGATTAAAAGAATAGATGGGTTGGGTTTTGAATCGAGTCGCCCAAATTAACACTGGCAAATACCTAAAACCGCCATAAAGGAAAAAGAAGAACTATTAAAATTTATTAAAATAATTGTAACAATGCTTTTTCTATCCTGAACATTAATGTCAAATACCTAACTTATCTTGGTAAGTACAATCTGAACTGATATTGTACTACCATATCTTTCAGGATGTAACACACTTTTAATTATACTTTGATATATTTGTATCAATATTTAATTCTTTGGTTAAGAGCCATCAGCGTCCTGGTGCTCACTATTAATTAAATATTCTTGAGCGACCTGAGTTCAAATCCCATAGCTGGCTAATAAAATTGTAATATTATTACATGCTGTTTTATCATATACTCAGAAAAATATTGTGTTGAAACCTGCATATTTTTATAAAAATAACAAAAAAATGTCTCTTAGATATGTGAAGTCCTTGAAAAGTTGTTTAAAAAATCTATAAAAGGAAAGAGATTTTTATTAAAAAGCTATTGATTAATACAATGATTCCATATTTTTTGTACTTCAGAAATAGGACTGAGTTCCACTTCTTTCTTGATTCATTTAATCTTTATTCTTTTTATTTGTATGCCGCAATTTAGCTTACATGGTAATTTTTTTATGTTATTCTGTATTTCTATTTCTTATTCTGTACTCTTGAATTTTTCCCTTAATTCAAACATAATCTTTTATCCTTACTAATATTAAAAACGCTAAAAGTTTGCATGTATGGATGGATATTTGTTACCCTTTCATGCAAATACTACTGAATGGATTTTAATAAAAATTTACAATAATATAGCTTATATATCAGAATAAGACATAGGCTATAATTTATATAAATATTTTATGTATACCTGTCTTTCTGTCTAAATGTTACGCCTTCAGCTTATTCTACGCAGACATAGTCGCGCAGCAGCTATTAGACAATAATAATCACTCATTAGATTAAGTCCTAGATTAATTCATTGTTATTAATATAGGTAATTGAATATCTGCATACCATGAAACATTCATTTAACTTGGCTTGTAGCTAATTTCTTGAAAATCATAATTATCAAAATCTTGCACCATAATAAACTGTTAGTAATATATATAAACTGTTAGTTAGTTTAGTGTTATAGTGTTTAATATTATTATTTACAAATATACTAGTTCATTTATTCATATTCAACTGTTCAAATACTGTTTGTTCTATCTGCTTTTGAATGGGAGTGAACTTTATTTAAAACAGAATCAGTTCTATAAATAAACCACCTTTCCGGCAATGCTTAACATTCCAAGTTGGTCATCACTCATTTAAGTTCATTGACCGTAAACATTCTTACTTAATTTATATTTTTACTTTGATATAAGAATCATGCTTTTATATTTGGTCAATGGCGAATATAATTAAAATTGTATTTACAGCATATTTTCTATAGCTTAATGAATTGAAAAAATAATTAAAAAAAAAACATAATAATTTTGAGCCTTTAATGTTTTCGTTCGTAATGTAATGTATTAAGCGATATTTGGTGTTTAGCACCCAACTTCCCAGATACTTATATTGATCACAATGGTTATCAATTGTTCAGTAACAGGAAATAAATTAGGATTTTGCATCATTTGCATTAAAATACATGAACTAGGTTTTGGTACATAACATTAAGACTCATCAGTAACCGGTGATCACTAGAAGATTGACACCTAGAAAGTGTTTTGTTCTCAGCATGGCCTGGTGGAAATAGTTATATCTTCTATGTAATTATCCACATCTGGTTCAATGCTATGCAAGACAGGAGAAGGAACAGGACAAATCCTTGGTAAACTTGGTGATGGTTCCTTCCATCATCGCTTTGGGTTTTATCTTACCTACCATTGTCCATTAAGCTTGTCGTCTTGTAGATCTTGCTATGACGTTAAACCAGTTTTTTAGGGACTTTCTTCTTGCTAAAGTTCCACCAAAACTTGTCTCATTACCTTATCAACTGCCGAATCAGAATTAAACGCAAGTAAGCAAATGCAATAAAGTAAATAAATTTTAATTTTAATGTTCAATCTTAAGTGCAGAGATTAGCACTATAAAAAACTTTAAAATTTATAAAAAGCAATGGCGACATCTCCCGTTCGAATTATCGTTGTAAAACGATATTCGAAATTGTTTGTATCCTGGAAAGGATATAACAATAGATGCGCCAAGCATTGCTTCAAATGCTAAATAACAATGTAGAAGGAAGGCGTTAAAATTTTCGTCGCTGTGGCTAACAGCCGTTTAGCGCAGTGGCTAGAGCGTCAGGCCGCGAATGCCGCGAAGACGTGGGTTCGATTCCCACAGCGGCGATAATCTTTTCGTACTTTTTCTACATGTTTTAATATTCAATCTTAAGTGCAGAGATTAGCACTATAAAAAACTTTAAAATTTAAGTAAATAAATTGTTGGTCAGTTTGGCTGATACAAGACCTTAAGATTCACGAGAGGTATCTGTATAATAAAGGTTACATCAATTTTGAATAATGCTCATATGCTTTAGATGAGTCAAATCAAATGTTTCAAAAGGAGTTTATTTATAGCCTAGTTTATCTTTTACCCTTTGATCTTTTTCCGAAAGGTATCCTCGATAATCTGTAAAAATCGATCAAAGGACGCTCATGGTGATTGACAGCGGCTGTAAAAGTAACGGGAACAGTTAATCTTGTATAGGTAGTTTTAACATTTTTATAGTTCAACTAGCGGACCGGATAGACGTTGTCCTGTATACACGACTTAAATCCGTCAACAACTTATAAATTTGACCGTCAAAAACTTATTAATAAAAAAAAAAATATAGTGGATCGAATCTGAATCTAAATCATTCTCGAATGGACTTGAAAACACCCAAAATTTCATTAGAATCGGTCCAGACGTTTAAGCGGAGTTCAGTGACATACACGCGTACAGAAAAATTATATACAGCGTGTCGTTACCATCGCGACAATAAATGAAAATACGTCTAACGCTACGTGCCAATAATCATAAAAAAATATTAACGTTAAAGAAATCGATAATTAAAAAAAATATTTTTCAAACAAACTAATTAAGTAAAAAAGAAATAAAATTTGTAACATCCTATACAACTACAACTGGCTGATTCATACATTCAGAGACTTTCATTCGTTGCCACAGCGTTGCATTACAAGCCTCTCCTTCTAACACTATGTTTTGTTTCTTTCGAATTCATTCAATCCATTCATATGCTTTTTGACCTTTACAAATGAACTTACAGCGTTACAGTTTTATACGTAAGGGTATAGTAAAATTATTTGTTTTGGAAAATTTAATAACTCTGTAAATATTGATGTTTAAAGAATGTAAATGTTTAATACAATTTTAAAAAGTTATCCTCTATATGTGTGTTCGTTTATTGTCGCGATTGCTGTATACCTATAAAGATAAAATTTATCATGCGTCTGACGTTCTCAATGCTCATTGTACCTATTAATATTGCATTGATTTAATCGATAAGTATGTACGATATCAAACTGCAAATATCGGGATTCAAGGGAGACTCGACGTTTATCAATGTATATTGCATTAAGCAAATGTTACGCACCACTTGCAAATTCGTAACGACCAGACACGACCTAGTAGTGATGATAACGCTAATCATGTATCGATCACGTAGTAAATACCTCGAGGCTGTGTCGTCCGAATGACTCAGTAGCGGCGCTATGATAAACCTTGATTGATGTACTTTTGGACAATAATCGGCTTACTACAATTCATCGAAATCCAAATATCATATGTAATAAATTACATTAGGTGTGGTTTATATATTTCGTAGACTGTGGTAGGGCCACGCAGCAGCCTTGACTGTTGCACGAATGGGCAGGGTCGTCCGGGTAAGTACCACTACCTCACAGAAGACCGGCGTAAAGTGGAAGTATAATACTATCTCGTTTCGTCTGATAAGTGAGGTAGCCGGAGCCCAATTTTCAAAAATTTGCCAATGCATCCCTCTGGTGTTCACTTAACATCAGGTGAACCGCCTGCTCACTTGGCAACTTTTCACATAGAAAAAGGTAATGTTGAGAGCCATGATTTCAGTGTCCGGGCGCTCGTTTTTAATTTAATATACTCGAGCAACCCGATTTACCACCGCAGTGCCTTTACGTGGTGAAATATAACGAGACATATACAGGATGTTTAATTTTCTTTCAACTCCGTCGAATCAAGCAATAAGTAGGTACACGAATTTGCCGATAAATGTCATTATTAATATCAAATGGAAGATAGCACCTAATCGGCATATATGCTTTCTCATCGTCCTTGACAAAATCGATTGACATGGACTTCGTGTTGCGTAAATACTAACGTGTAAAACCTTTTAAAGAAATATTCTTCGAAAAATAATGCCGTTTAAGGCGACAGTGAACTAAGCTCCACAACATTCTGACTCATATAGCATTGATAACGCCTCTTCAAAATACTCATTAGATATGTCCACGGCATATGGAGTGGTTTCCCGATGAATCATGATTATTTTGTCTCGATGCATCCGAAAATTAAAGTGCTTTATTTACAAAATCTCTTTATATGTTGTCGCCGTAGATATATTGAATTATTTATTTATAGAATTATTAACTTATAGAATCGATGTATTCCGATAAAATGTGCAGGCTGCGTGCTATTGCTAAATATATTACTTTATCATTTAAGTGTAAATCC